TATGATAGTCTGCTGGAATATAATAATAATAATAATAATAATAATAATAATAATGATAATCACTTCAATAATATATTGGTCGGAAAGTTAAGCTATTTTTCTTGTTTCCAAACTGACATAGTATTTCATGTCTGAATTAGGCCCCCACTGATCATCTCAATTTCAATGTGCATGAAATGGTTCACCTGAGCTCAGCCCCTCAGCCATCGTTTTTAGGGGCATGTTTGTGTTGTCCTCATATGCCCTCCAGTAGTAGTAAGCCAATACATACTGTGTATGTTAATTATGATGAATACATATATGTAGTCATAAACTTGTTTTTTTTTCAGATACGTGAACATGTTACTGTGTCAAGCCAGACCTTAGGCAGTAAACTTTACATTTCTCAATGTCTGTCATTTTTGTTGATTTCCCCTCAGACTAAACATTTGGCCTGTCTCAATCCTAGATAAATTTTATTCATAAAACTCAACTCGAATACAATGATGAAGTACTGAAGTCCTATTGGTTGAAAACTCAGGCAATATTTTTTGTAGCAAAATGTATGTAATAGTCCATTTCTATAATGGACTCCTGCTGATCTTCCTAATTACAGTGTGCATTGGATGGCTCATCAAATATCACTTAAATCACGGCAAAAGTGAGCATGTCACATGTGCTGTATTTTACGGTCATATTTGTCACGAAAGAAGCCAAGATATGTAATTGCTCCATGCACACATCATTTAAAATGTAATGCGTGTAACAGAGACAGAACGCAATAATTATCCACAGTACAGGAAACAGCCCAACCCAAAGAAGCTTGGGAGTTCAACACCCTTGCTAAACTTTGGACCATTTTCTTTTGAGGAACTTTCTCTAGATTCTAATAATACATGCATCTTGCCCGGAAAGGGTACCAAACATAAATATTAATGCTATAGATGAACTCAGATACCAATGGTGAAAGATGAAGAGCAGGGGTACAAATTGAAATAAAAACTGCAGAATCAATTCATTAATTACACATAAATATTTTTCATTAACTTCAGCTTTATTTTACATTATACGATCAAACTAACATTATGGGTAAAAATACCCAGAGAATTATACTCCGAACATCATAAACATCCTCACAATCTTAGGCTGCATTTCCATAAACTTACTGTACTAGCAGGTTAGATCTATCAGCAGTAATTCTCACTATGGAGTGGACGATGTAATCAGCTTATTCTTTGGCACCCCCCCCCCCCTTGCAAAGCAACATGACCAACTTCATGGACTACAAAGTTTTTCTGACTTCCCCCCTCCCCCGAGTGCTTTTAGGCAGTTTTAGGGTGCAATGATTCCAAGACGGATATAATCACAATTGATTAATCATTGTAAATATTTTCAGGTATATATATATAAAAGGACTGAAGGAGAATCAATTATAGAATGCATAGCCAAATTAATACAACTTATATTTTATGTATTTAACTCATTTTGATTTTTTTTTTATTAACGAATTAATTTTTTTTTCATGGAACAGTAATAAGAAGTTTCATATAAGAATACTAGGAAATGGCCATATAACTATTGTTTGGGTAAATTTAACTAAGCATGATTTTTTAATGAAATGGTTTAAATTTTATAATATAAAATTGTATTGGCGATAGATAGTTATTTTTTCATTCACGAAAATTTGTAGTCTCAAAACTTAATTGAGCAGGAGATCAATTATTTGGTTCAAATCTGAGTCACTGTGGAAGTGCTCTATTCACACAGACTTGAATGAAGTCAGAAGTAAAAGACACGCTAGCATTCATTAGGGGTATGTGTGAGGGTAATCTTCCAGAGTTTCCACGTGGAAAGTGAGAAAGCTACACGGGAAAGATTGTGATTTTGACTCACAATTGGTTTTAAGTATCTGATTGAAATTGAATAAAGACACCTTTTGATTTGGAACTGAAGACGTCAGTTCTGTTATTTATTGAGAACGACATTGCTAGCTAATACGAACATGACGTTTCCAGTTTTGATGACGTAACTATTTTCTAATGAAAGGAATTTTTTTTTTCTTTATGGACTTGTCTCACAGACATGTAATTTTCTTGTGATGTTTTGTATTTTTTTATAATTTACACATGCTCTAGACGTATCCCCTTTTAATAATTTTCTGAGGGATAGTTAACAGACAGTTCTTATGCCAGCATTCCCTAAAATGTTGTTACTCTTGACAAAACATTCATAAATGAGATGGAGCAGAGTTCCCAATGTTATGTTATACATTATAAAACCCATTATAAAATTCAGTGTGCAGTCAGACTTCATCAGGGAATGATGTTGTGATAGATAGCACAACCTAACACCCGCTCCGGTGTGCTTTTCAATTACATCACTCCCTCCCCCCTCCCGTCTGCTCCTCCCTTAGGAGTGGTAGGTAGAGGTTGGGTAGCTCAGTCCCATCAGTACGATTGAGCTTGGCCCCATGTAAGCAGATGTTGAATGCTTCACTAACTTTAGGGTGTAGGTCCCGTTGCTCTCTTTCCAAGATATTTTTATATCTTCTGGGGTTGCTGGTGTTTAACAATGCTCTGTCTGTTCCTGCAAGCAGGCAAAATATTGGCTGGTAAGACCAGAGAATTATAAGTAGCTATAGACAAAAGAATCTTCACAAGTTCATTTTTTTTTTCTTTTTTCAGATACCAAATCTAACATGATTGATGGTTTAGAAAAGACAAATAACGACGAAAAAAATCTATATTTTATATCGTTAATTCAAATTCAAAGTATGCGCACCCTCAAATACTTTGTTTCAATGATTTCCACAGAGGTAAAAATGTGTACTCAATTAAAAAAGACACTGCCAAATATAACCAAAGTTACATAAAATTATCAATAGGATATGCTCGTTAACGGTAACGTGTCTAGTACCGTGTTTACTGCGAACTGCAATTATTGGCGGCGCGACAAGCAATTACCAAGGGCAACAATCCCGTTTGTGGGATATTGTCATATTCTTCATAGAGAACTTGGCAAAGTTGTTCTAGATAATTTGGGGGTTTGTTTTCATATGCATTGTACACTCCAATCCATAACACAGGTGCTCAGTAGGGTTAATAACAGACATTTCTATACATCTGTGGAACCGGCAGCGAAACACCGGATAAGAGACGTAAATACTCTGATATAAAAATATACTTTTTTCGCCGCAAAATAAATAAATAAATAAATAAAATACATAAATACACAGCTCAAAAAAAAAAAAAACTGACAGAAGCAGTGCCTTGGTAAATCATTAAATGTATGAATGGAAAGAAGAAATAATTATCCATACTTACGTACATTTAACGTAGGAAAGGATCAAGTTTGAAAGCAGGATTGTTTCACTTGACATAGGTTTAATTGACAAAGGTTAAAAAGAAAACCGACAGGCTTTGTGCTCTTTAAATTATTAACATACCCTTTTTATACTCTTAGTGTCTCAAAATCATGTAACTTCCTTTTTGAATAAATATAGCCGACCACCCTCTGGTTTGATATATTATTATTATTATTATTATTATCGAGCATTTTCATATTCGAAAAGTTTAATTGTAAGTGGTCACAAACATAGTCTCGGTCCTCCTTTGAAATTGATATTGGACAGAGATATATTGTGGTTGCTAAGCTTACCTTACACATAGAACAGTAGGAGTATAAGTGATTTATGCCTTCCAAGAAGGACTGAGCTCTAGCTCCCATGAATATTGATTACCCCAAAAGATATCTTCGTCATAATGGTTTTTCATGTACATATTCAGTTAAAAGAAGCGACAGCCATTTTTTACTGAGAATATGCTCACAATTTTGTTTAAGTAGAAATAAGACCCTAATCTACGTGATTATTAGAATTTTTTCTTTAAAAATAGTGATGGACTGAAAGATTAAAATTTTTCATATTTAACACATGACATGAACGTCCCGTTATCGAAATCTATCCCAAAACTAGAATTAATTTAAGAAAAAGGGAAAAAAAATAACCCGTGAGTAGTCACCAGTTCCGAAATAATCATTAACACCGACATAATGCCTACTCCTGTCTATTCCAATTTACAAGGCAGTGACACCACCTTGGATTAAGAATATCTTGTCATTGTCGGTCGATTTATGTCTTCTTGGAAGGCATTAAAAGGCATGAGGTATAAAGTTAAGAACTTTGATGAGTGAGGCAGTCCGTTATACTGAATCATATGAATAAAAATCCAATGATTTTTGCCCTGGGCTTTATACGAGTAGAGGGAAGAGAGGGAAATAGAGAAGGCGGCGGGGAACCGACTGGAAAGTAGTATAGGAAAAGTAAGAGACCAATTCCAGAGACTATTGTACTAACTTTGGATCGATGTATACACAAAGGGATTCTCACTAAATTATTGTCAACTTAAGCGGTCTAAATGTCTGTCATGGCTACTAAAGCTGTTAGCGGGTAATTAACTACCGGAGCAAAGTTAATTCCCACTAGCTGATTCGGTAGGCGTGGCACACATATGAACTTCTTCAGTTGATAGCAATTTAGCGTGAATCCTGTTGGATCGGGCTAGGCATAGAAACCCAGTCTAAAAGAACATGAAGGTATTTTGTTTACTACCCTGGTAAACGGGGAAGGAGGAAAAAGACGCATATTTCAGGGATTCCATTTAAAACATTTGTCAGAAAAAAAAGGACATAACAGAAGCCTAGTTAAAGGGTATGATGAGTAAGTTTTTTTTCCTTTGATCAGCTGCAAAACCAGGAAGTAAACAGGGAATGGAGAATTAAAAAGACTGTCAGACATGGCAGACGCACTAGCAGCAGCATTCACAGATAATCTCATAACATGTAGCGTCTGGCTGGGAGAGTATGAGGACCCCATTGTCCTGCCTTGCTACCATACATTTTGCTTTAACTATATAGCTGACCAAGCCAAGAAATTACTGATTCGAGACAGGAGATTTCAATGCCTCTTTTCTAAAGACAAAATAGATTTTACAAAGTAGGGACTTGAAAATCTAGAAACAGACATGGCAGAAGCACTAGCAACAGCTTTCACAGATAATCTCATGACGTGTAGCATCTGTCTGGGAGAGTATGAGGACCCCCGTGTCCTGCCTTGCTACCATACATTTTGTTTCGGTTGTATATCTGGCTATGCCTCGAAAACTATATCTCGGGAATGGACATTTTTCTGCCCTCTTTGTAAAGAACGGATACAATTGCCAAGAGAAGGACTCGTGAGATTAAGAAAAGATTTCCGTGTTCACAAAACGAAAGAGATTCTGAGTCAGAGACAGCAGCATGAGGTCTCAACTACAATCAGAGAAACAAATGTTACTAGTGTGACACAAGCCATTGCACAGGGGGCAATCTGTTGTGAGAAACATCCTAATAATGAATCAAAATATTACTGTGAAGATGACGATACTGTAATATGCTGTGAATGTATATTAACAGAACATAGTGGGCATCGTATTTCATCGATTGAGCAAACTGCAAAATGCAATAGAGATAAAATTAAATTTGCTCTTGTGAAAGCCAGGAAAAGATTCAACAATATAGAAGAGGCAGTTATAAAGGGACAGACAGTTGTTATGGGAACAGTCAATGAATCAAGCGACTCTCAAATCAGGGCAGCCACTATCGAATGCATCAAAAAAGAAGTTCAGAGCATGTGCAAATTAATTTACCAGAGGGGAGAGACACTGATATCAGAGGTGAATTCTGCTTACGATGAAAGAAAGAAGCAGAATGAGGCAAACAAGCACAACCTTGATCTCCACCATGCCTCCCTGCAAAGTGCCTGTGACTTTGCCCAGGAACTTATCACTAATGGCACAGACTTAAATATCATAGTTCATGCAAAATCTCTGACAGAGAGACTGGCAGCAATGAATGAAACACTTGTCTCATCTCTAAACAGGCCTACATTGATATCATACAGCCCAAGTAAAATATCTACTGCTGAACTAGAAACCATGTTAGGACAGGTGACAGTACAGTCACAAATAACATTAGGTCCAGCTCCTGTTTTCTTAAATAAGACAGAATGTGTGCATTCCTTCAGTTCCAAGCTGAAACATGATAGAGTAGTGTGTATATCTGGGTTGACCATAGATGAGGAACACGTGTTTGTAGTGGATAAAGGAAATGGCAAAACAAAAATATTCACACATACTGGAAAGTTTAAATTTGACATTAGACAAAACAATCCATTTGATGTGACAGTGTCACAGACTGGTCAGCTGTATATAACATCACAGGGTGACAAATGTGTCCAAGTGTACTCCACCAGAGGTCAGCACCTAACAACCATGGGTCAAAATCAACTTGAGGCCCCGTGTGGTATCACAATGAGCAATGAAGGTCATGTGATGGTTTGTGACAGAGGAGAGAAAGCCATCTTCACATTTCATGCAGACAGTGGACAGCTCCTGAACACTATTCCACTCAGTATGTGTGTGTGCCCACAGTACATCACAGTGAATAATGTGAATGATAACATTGTAATATCAGATATTCTGAGAAAATGTGTACATGTACTGTCATCTACTGGTGATCATCTGTACCAGTATGGCACAGAAGGCAGTGGTGATGGTCTGCTGAGGTCAGTAGATACAGTGTGCACAGACAGCTACGGGCACATCTTCATTAGTGACTTTCTTTGCCACAAGGTAGTAGCACTGAGTCCACAGGGAAAGTTTATCAGATACATTGCATCACAGCTAGATGGGTTGCAGGATCCAAATGCATTAGCCATCAACTCTGCTGGCCAGCTGGTGGTGGCAGAAGGACAGGGAAAAGTTAAGACATTCCAATATTTACAGTAACTACTGATCACATTGAATAATGATGAAATTATATCAAACTGCTGATGTTTGTAAAATTTTGTGTTATCACTGGTAATGAGGATAGGTTGTAGATGAAGGACTGTTGTGATAGCGGAGTGGAAGACTATGTATTTATATGATGGTTGAAAATGATGTTTCCATTTTTGATAAAGTAACTGGGGGTACAAATGGTCTGCTACGTCACAAATATCTAAACTACATTTACAAGAGCCCCTGTACCCAAATTCTGTATGTAGGTCACGTATAATGTCAACTCAATCCATGTGAATTGTGGGCTTTGTCGGTACTTGGATCAAAGTGTGGCACTCGTCGCAGTGCAACATTGTCCACAATTGGTAAAATTAAATGTTACATATCTTCCAAACCGAGGGAATTATGGGAAGAATACGGTACCGAAACTGAAAAGTTCTCTCTAATTCTGGAACCATTAATGCTAGGGACCTCTTGTATTTTGCATTTAATAGAGCATATCAAGCCCAACACTGATGTTGTGTCCATTTTTGCTTTCCATATGGTTTATGAGTTACGCTGTATCAATAGTATATTGTGGTGGTGAAAATAAAATGTGCATTACGGTAATATGCATAAAATTGTGAACGTCTAGAAAAGATAATATAAGGCAAAGCGAGTCTGGTCGAAAATGACATGATTTCATGACATTAGAACATTTAGAATTACTGAGCACCTGTTCATTAATTTCACCAAAAAGACATTTTCTTTATTTCAATTTATTTCATCCGTACGAAATTTAAGACACATTACAGTAACTTTAAAATTGCAACAATTAAGTCCCTTACGTCTCCAAAACTGGCAGAGATAGACCCATAGTTGCTTTTGAAGTTGACTGTGAAATCATAAACTGGAACTGCGACCTTGAAACTGACCTTTGACCTACTTTTCACCATGGACTGAACTTTGCAACTTTTCAGTTCCTTATATCTCCATAACTGGCAGAGATAGGGTAATAGTTATTATTGAACTTGAATAGGATATTATAAAACGACAATCTAATTGTGATTTAAAATTTGACCTTTAACCTACTTTTCATTATGAACTGACTCGCTTTGCCTTATATCTCCAAAAGAAGCAGAGATACAGTCAAAGATAATATTGGACTTAATTAGGAAGTCTTATACTGGCAATCTAACTGTGACCTTTAGTTTACCTTTAGCCTACTTTTCACTGTGAACTGAACTTTGCAACTTTCCTATAGCTAAATCTCCAAACTGGTAGAAATACCCCCATAGACACTTTTAAACTTGAATAGGAACTTACATGCCGGCAATCCAACTGTGATCTTAAAATTCAAGGTTGGCCTTTTCCCTATGTATTGAATTAGACAGCTTTTAGTCCCTCATATTTTCAAAACTGGCAGAGATATGCTCTTAGTTACTATTGAACTTGAATAGGAAGTCATACTGACAATCCAATTTTTGGCCTTTTTTTCGCCATGAACTGGTCTTTGCAAATTTCCCGTCCTTTTAAACCCCAAAACTGGTACAGAAATACCCATTGATAGTACTGAACTTGAATAGGAGCTCATATATTGACAGTTTCCTGTGATTTGACCCTTGATCTCCTTTTCGCCATGAAATGTACTTCACAAATTTGGATTTGACGATTTACTTTTCCCCTTTATTTTGTTATAAATAGTAGTTTAACAAATCTAGAACTCCTGTTAACTGCATTTTGTAGAGCTTGTCAAGTACAACACTGTAGGTGGTGTCTTTTTTTCCCCGCAAATGCGCTTGCTACAGCTGGTGGTACAATACTTGGAGGCGGTATCGCCTCTCTGATCCTCTAATTTCTTATGAAAGGAAAACTTAGCATTGAGGATTAGTGTTAGATGTAGGAAACAGAAAATATGGTATAGTCAGTGTGTAGGACAGCAGTGATAGCAGGGTGGAAGACTAGCTATTTGTATATGATGTGTTAGATGTAGGAACTAGAACATAAGGTATAGTCAGTGTGTAGGATAGCAGTGATAGCAGAGTGGAAGACTAGGTATTTATATATGATGGTCTGAATATGATAAAGTTTATTCAGTTCAAAGCTGAATCACTGTGGCAGTGCTCTGTGCACACATACTAGATTGAAGTAAAAATTAAAAGATATGTTGGCATTTATTAGGTGTGTGTGTCTGTGTGTGTGTGTGTGTGTGTGTGAGAGAGAGAGAGAGAGAGAGAGAGAGGGTTACCTTTCAAAGTTTCTTTGCTTTTTTTATTGTGTCAATATTTAATTGTACATAAACCAAAGGAGGATGCTTTACCCAAACCCTTTTTTGTGCTCATTTTGTTATGCCTAGCTGCTGTTTGTAATAAATGTTCTTTGTATTTAGTAAATTTCAATTAGTTATTTGTCTGCCATATTGTTTGTTTAAATGTCATTTTAGGCAATTATCTAATAGATTTTTTTTTTTTTTGCATTTTATTTGTTTGTTCCATTATTAAGCAATGGTTACAACTGCAATTTAATACATAATTAATAATAAGTTTATTATTCAGTTTAAATAGAACTTAATAAAATAATAAATGTAATAACAAGAATGTTTTTTTATTATTTTCATATAAAATTTTGCTTGTATTCTCAACTGTATGTATACATATACATTTATGCATTTTATTTATTTATTTTTTCTGTTTGCAACATGAATCATATAAATGATATGGACAGTGAGTTTTATTAGAGTTAATATTGTTGGTCAATGACAATTAATATATATTTACGTGTGAAATTTAACTTTTATCTCAAATTAAATATACAGATGATGCTTTACTGATATTAATAGAATTAATATAATCTTATTTGTTTATACACCTGATAGTGTCATTGTATGATAGGGAGATATAGGTTATTAAGAGATAGGTTATAAAGCAAAATGTGTTATGTCGTTTCATACAACATACGTATATGACTATTTGTACTTAATATTTGAATTAATGGTTACTTATTAATACAAATAGTATATATGTATGCTTAAAGATTTGTTTTACCTTAGATGCAATAATTCCAAGACTGATTCAATCACAATTGATCAATCATTGTAAATATTTTCAGAAATATTAAATGTCTGAAGGTGAATCAAGACAAATGAAAACAACTTATAAATTGTTCTAAAGAAAAAAAATTACCTTATTTAAGTAATTTTTACATACACGTAGGTAAGGATCAAGTTTGAAAACAGGATTGTTTCATTGACAAAGGTTAAAAAGAAAACCGACGGTCTTTGTGCTATTTAAATTATCAACATACCCTTTTTCTACTCATAAACCCCATTTCCATAGATTTTAGATTGATCTATCCCTGTGAGGAGTCTCACCAGATTACTGTCAGCTTAGCCGGCTTAAGCGTCTGTCCCGCCTACTAAAAGCTGTAAGGGGATAATTAAATATGGTGCACGCTCTGCTGACTGCAATTTAGCGTGAATCCCCAGGGAGTTAGGTCGATGTAAATCTTAATATCTGGATTGATCTAAAACTTTGGGAAAACACCCTTAAAATGTCTTAAAATTATGTAACTTAAAATTCCTTTTTAAATGAATATAGCCGACCACCATCTGATTCAATCTTTTATTATTATTATTATTATCATCATCGAGCATTTTCGTATTCGAAAAGTTTAATTGTAAGTTGTCACAAACATAGTCTCAGTCCTTTTTAATTGGTATTGGACAGAGTGATACTGTATCCTCATCCTGGCGGTTGCTTAACTTACCTTACACGAGGAAGCATATGTGATTTATGTCTTCCCAGAAGAAATAGTCTCTAGGTCTCATGAATATTGATTACCCCATCAGATTTCTTTGTCATCATAGACGAGTGTATATTCAGTTAAAAGTAGCGACGGTTATTTTTTTCAGAGGATATAGCTAAAATGTGCTCACAATTTTGTTTAATTAGAAATAATCTAATAAAACAAGCTTCGATCATATTTCTATTACATTTTTCTGTCATTGACAAATCCCCTATCATTGAAAACATTACAAGAGGACATTGTGCTAGATCCAATGTTGAGTTTCAACTGGCCTTTAAGAATTTCCTAAGTATCTTTTTAGTCCTAAGGCACTTAAAGGGATATCTACATGTACGTGACAGGCCAGTAGCCAGGGGGGGGGGGGGGGGTTGGGGGTTCGAAAGAGCCCCCTATTTTCTGGAAAAGGGTAAAGGTCCACTCTGGGTAAAATTTGAGCTAGGTACATGGGATTTATATGGTAAAAAGTCCACTTTTTCGGAAAAAGAACCCCCCTTTGAAATTGCTGGCTACGGGCCTGCGTAATTATTAGAATTTTCTTTAAAAATAGTGATGGACTGAAAGATTAAAAGTTTTCATATTTAACACATGACATGGACGTCCCATTATCGAACTCTATCCCAAACTAGAATTAATGAAGAAAAAGAAAAATAAACCGTGAGTAGTCACCAGCACTGAAATAATCATTAACACTGACATAATGAATACTCCTGTCTATTCCAATTTACAAGGCAGTGACACCACCTTGGATTAAAAGTAATTTGTCATTGTCGTACAATGTATGCCTTCTCGGAAGACATAAAAAGACATGAGTTATAAAATATAGGAGACTGATGAAAGAGGAAATCCGTTATACTGAATATTTGATTCATATGAATAAAAACCCAACGAGATTTGTTCTGGGCTTAATACGAGTTGAGGGTAGAGAGGGAAACGGAGAGAAGGCGGCCGGGGTACCGACTGGAAAGTAGTATAGAAAGAGTATAAGAGACCATTCCCAAAGCCTATCGTACTGAATTTAGATTGATTTGTCTCCAAGGGATTTCCACTAAATTATTATCAATGTAAGCGGTTTAAATGTCTGCCGCCTCGTCTACTGAAGCCGTTAGGGGGTAATTAAACAATGAAGCAAAGTTAATTCCCCCTAACTGATTCGGTAGGCGTAACCGACATATAAGCTGCTTCAGTCGATAGCAATTTAGCATGTATCCCTCATAAAGTTCTCTTGTTGTCTACCCTGAGTAACGGGAAAAGGAGGAAACGGACGCATATTTAAGGGATTGCATTTAAAACATTTGAAAAAACGACTTTACAGGACCCTAGTAAAAGGGTGTGATGAGTAAATTTTGTTCTTTTCTTTTNTTCCCAGAGATTTAGATTTAGATCGACCTAACTCCCTGGGGTTTTACGCTAAATTGCAGTCAGCTGAGTGCGCACCATAGTTAACTACCCCCTTACAGCTTTTAGTTGGCGGGACAGATGCTTAAGCCGGCTAAGCTGACAGTAATCTAGTGAGACTCCCCACAGGGATAGATCAATCTAAAATCTATGGGAATGGAGTCTTAGGTATGCCAGACATTTAAGCCTCTCAAACTGAATGTAATTTAGCAAGAATCCCCAAGAAGTTAGATTGATCCAGCTAGAACATAGGCTTATGGGAATGCTCCCTTAAAATTTATCCTAGTACAATCTAACTGACATTCTGGCTCAAAATACCAATATAATTGCTAGTACCCAAAATTCATAAACAGCAAAATGTTGATCATTCATAAGCTTGAATTTTATCCTGCTATAATCTATGTAATTGTTTGGCTAAAATGACAAAATGAGTTCTGGTATTGGTACATATAACTTACGGAAAATTATTAATACATCACACAACTCACCCACAAGGGGCTCTCTAGAATACAGAGATAAATCTTTGGTATAGCAATAGCATTAAATAGTAAACAAAATCTGGACTATAAATTCTACCTCTATGTATCTTGTATAAATCGTTATTTGTACATTTAAATCCCATTTGAAGAGACATGCCAGACGTGATAAATAATTTCACCTATTTCATGCATCTTACAATTGTATCAACTGGTCCAGACACGAGTCCTCACATCTTGTGTTACACTTTTCTGTATCCAAACACTTTGATAGATTCACAATATAACAAGCTGCCTTTCATGTAACTGAAAGAGTTGCCTAAACAGAGCTCACATGCTTGACACCACCATTCAGTTAACTGGATTAATTCTGATTAGTCAAAACAGTTAAAAGGATACTTGTGAAAGGGACCCCCCACACACACACACAAACTGCCTTACATGATTTACATATACTGTATGAGCTTCTACACAAATACAAATGTAATACTGAATAATGTGGCAGTGCGGTGGGATGTGACAAAGCTGTGCAGTTGTGAAATATATTCCCTGTGAGATAATAAATGCACTGCTTATATGCTTTTTTGCACTCAAATTCTGCACAATTAATTCCAAACTGGGATTATTTGTTTATTCTGCCAATAATGGGAGCTGGAGGTCAAGCTGTGAATTCTCCACCTTTCTAAGAGATATCTCATACAGGGTTCTATAATAAATTAACCCCATATCCTATAGGACATATGTTTCCTATAGAACTGATAGAATTCCTACTAAGTCCCACAGAGTCTTGTAGGAGTCCCATAGAGTCCTGTAGGAGTCCAATAGAGTCCTGTAGGAGTTAGTCCTGTAGGAGTCCCATAGAGTCCTGTAGGAGTCCTATAGAGTAATGTAGGAGTCCCATAGAGTCCTATAGGAGTCCTATAGAGTAATGTAGGAGTCATATAGTGTCCTGTAGGAGTTCCATACAGTCCTGTAGGATTGAGTTAGTCCTGTAGGAGTCCCATAGAGTCCTGTAGGAGTCATATAGAGTAATGTAGGAGTCATATAGAGTCTAGAGTCATGGAGGAGTCCTACAGAGTTCCACTGAGTCCTACAGGACATCCTACAGGAACATTTTCTGATGGCTTTTTTTTTTCATCTTAAACAGATACTCATATCTAAAGTTGAAAGTCCTATGGTATACATGTACAACAACTCTTCTGTGACCTAAAACATAGTTCCCCTGACATAAAACATTTTTATCATCTTCCCCAAAGCAATATCATAGGTGTCACCACCATCTCTGCCTAGGGGCGTGAGTACATGCAGTGTCATGATTCTACTGTGTCTGGAAGTGTGATAATTTTGGCTGCCTCTCTCACTCCGCTCAGATAGGCTCCTGTGACTGTCTGTGGAAACTGACGCTGGGTGGCCTGTTGAAAAAGAACCAGGAAGACGTTGAAACTATATACATCATTCTGACTTATAATAAAACAATATTAAAGACAGCCACTAAATTTTGACTTATTCTAAACCAAACATTAAAAGTATATGCAAATATATGTGTTAATATAAATGTTGAGAATTAATTGAGGTGAAAAAACAGGTATTTTCAAAACTTGGAAACTGGTCAAAATCTGCAATTTACAATATAACGATATTCAAAGCTATGCCTTAACTTGAGTTTAAAATTGTGATCCACCGGAACAAAATTAACACATCCTATGAAAATCTCAAACACAATAAATAAGATAAATAAATGAATAAAACAAATAAATTTTCTTTAGGCACCATCCCCTCACCTCTCCACCAAAGAAAACTTTCTGGTCTACATCCTCAGCAACAATATCATAGGTGTCACCACCACTGCCAATAGGGACGTAGCTGTACGCCATGCCTATGTTCTCCATACTGTGCCAGCGAGTAACAAACCACTTCTCAGGTTCTGGGATTGGCTGAATAGAAGAAATAAAAATATATACCAAGTAAGGCAGATTGATTACCAGTATCCATATGCAAGTGGTGGCAATGTACCTTTGTATATTAATTTTCAAGCATAATTTGAATACATTACTGAGAATTTTCAGGAAAGGCAATTTACAGTCAAGAAAAAAAAATGAAAGAAACTGGATAGAAAATTAATTTATCTTCCTACAACCTCTGCTGAGTATGTTTGTGCAGGTGTGGAGTGAGTGGTTTCTTGGGGTCCAAAGGAACAGCCCACTTGTCTTTGTGTTATGATGACACTACATATACTAGCAGTTATATGAGTAGAAGTTTTATCATTTCCCAATTTTTAAATTATAAAAATAAACGATTCTCTCTCTCTCTCTCTCTCTCTCTCAGTATTACAGAATTATACAAAATAATTCTGTAATAAACAAATAAACAGAAATAAACAAAAATGTACACAAACCTTTTCAGGGAATAATTTTCCTAAAACCCCCACACAGCATTTGACAATCTCCTCATCAGTCTTCTCACTCTGAACTTCCACAGCTTTCCCACTCAACTGGCTAATCAGGACAAAAGGGCTGCTAGGGTTATCCTTTAGTCAAAAGAAAAAGTATTTGTTTGCGTATACATTGGCATATAAGCCTGGCTTATCAGGACAATAGTGCCTTTAGGGTTATACTGAAGTCATAAGAATAAGTATTCATTTGCATATACTAGTATGTAGGCATTAAGCCTGGTATAGGGGGCATGGGAGGGTGGAATTTGGGTTAGAGGGGGGGTGCACAGATATGTTTTGAGAGACTGAAAACTTAATGGACCCACCTAAATGTAGCCCCGATGCTAGATATATATATGGTCAAATAATCAACTTCAACCCAGACAGATGTAAGCAAACTTGTACTAGTAGAAGGTAGTAAAGTTCCTCTGTAGTGTAATTAGATGTTAGAACTAAAGTGTACCATTATAGCTGCATCACAATGATATAATGCTTAACGTGAAAATTTATATAATACATAGCATATACTTTAAATGTAGACTTCTTTAGCACCAACCTTTGGCGTGAGATCATAGAACATACTGAAAAGGCCTCTCTGAGATTCATCTGAAGGCACATGGCCAAAAAAACCTGCTTTTTTTGCCTTGTTCTGCCAGAACCTCTCTGGGAACTGTAAGGCAATCTGAAAACAACAACAACATTTCAATTTATCTTTCATTACTGAGTGACATAACATAACAGAATTTGATTTTATAGTAACGGACAAGCCCAGCAGCCATACAAATCATTTGATATCACCCCGAAGTGGAGAATTTAAGTTATCATGTACCATCAGCATCCTTTAACTGGCTGATGATGAAGATTTCCAACACTCTTAAAAACAGGGTAACATTAATGATATAGACAGGTTCTAAATGGAATCACCTATTAACGCAACATGTTTTAATGGGAACAGAAGCAATATAAAAATATTATATTATAAATTTTGAATTGAAAAATAGATCTCCATAACTAAAAATAAATATTAGGTGAAACTGACCAGGGCTTGGGCACATTTTCAAGAGACTAGTACCTTTTCTGTTACACCTGTCCCTAGTTTGTGGAAAGCCTTAACTTTATGTTCAGGTAAACTTGGGGTGAATGATATCACAGACTTCTGAAGTAGGGACAGTGGAACAGTGATTATCACCTGAAATAGTGAATATAATATAATATAATATAATATAATATAATATAATATAATATAATATAATATAATATAATATAATATAATATCATCTTGAGATGACAGATGACTTTCTGCATTATAATAAAATATCTTTTTTTTTCTTTTTTTTAAATATTAATTCATTGCCACTAAGATTTAGACACCAGTTTGTACTGGTAAAAATGTTCAGATTTATAGGCAAATACATAATAATATTAATTTTTTATATTTTTTTATGCAATTATTCATATTCATACTCATATTAATAATGTGACTGATAATCTTGCTAGTCACCAGCTTATGTAACACCAAGTTTTCTAGGTAATACAGGGTGGGATAAAATTATGCAATGTTCCCACCTTGTCTGCTGTCCACTTCTGGCCATTTTCAGAACTGACCACTACTTTATCACCAGAGTAATCTACAGATTTCACCTGCAAGAAAAACAATACACATAAATATAAAAAAGATGAATTTCCAATGGAGGCATAACATAACTATAGTATATACATGTACATTGGACCATGTTCTACACTTGCAAAAAAAAAAAAAAAAAAAAAAAAATTCAAAGTTCATATAAACAGCAATACACATAAATATAAAAAAGATGAATTTCCAATGGAGGCATAACATAAGTATAGTATATACATGTACATTGGACCATGTTCTACACTTGCAAAAAAAAAAAAAAAAAATTCAAAGTTCATATAAACAGCACTAAACCCCTGATATTTAACATGAATACTGATTCTGGTATTATTATTTTGGTCATTTTCAGGTCTTAGGATGTGGCATTCTACAATGGTGGAGGGGTGGGGCAAAGGAATGAACAGAGCAGCTTTCCGTGAGAACTAATCAGAATGATACTGGATATATTTACAGTCAGTTTACTAGTGTTGGCGGATGGTACAACAAAGTTATTAAATTGGCTTAATTGGTGAGCTTATCCTAATACTACAGGGAAGTTATTGTCAGTGGTACAAGACAAGGATAAGACTGGCTACTTATGGTGAAATAATCATATCAATGTGGCCAGTTGAAAAGTTGGGTTTCACCAAGATTGATGGACCCAACTTAACTGAACTGGAAACTTCATATGAGTTAAACTTACCTTAGTGTTTAACTTTATCTCTAAGCCATCAGCCAATCTATTCAAAATGGTGGAATAGCCTTCCCCAACAAGGGCATGGTTACCAGAGAATTGTGGGAAAGCCTCATTCTGATCCCAATTTATGGCAGACAGTTTGCTGAGGTCGCAACCACAAGCATATTCTAAGTTACTCATGTGGAACTGTAGTAGATTCAGTTCTTCCTGATAAATAAAATTTCTTCATTGTGCTATGTCTTCTTTTCATACAGTATATATCATACATGTATCTGTATAAAATTCAAGGTATATATTCAAACTTAATGAAACACATATCATCAACAGTACTAGGACAATCATACACATGCACCTTCAGGAAGTTACACTTGACACTTTGGTCACAAAAATACCAAAACAGTATCTGGGATAAAAAAATATATGTGGATTGTGGTTTCAGTAGCCTATGGTTTCAAGATAACTTGAGCCAAGTTAGTAATTCTGTATTTCAGTGATATTTTCAAAGGCATTTGCTATATGAAAACAAATATCTAAATACATAATTTTAGTGATGACAAATTTAAATGTATACACATACAGTGTAGTACATAGCCAGTAGATAGAAGTCATACAACAATGCAAATCTCACCTCAGTAAAAGTCAGCTGAGACTCCTCTATAAACTGTTGATGCATTTCAGTCAGTTTGTCTGAAATACAAAAGTCACCTTAATAATCTCAGGTTGAACAAGTACCTACATGTATGATCAGTACATTTTAGTCAGTTTCTTATTTTCAAGTCTGATGATTGTAAAATACATCTGAATTCCTGCAGTTTTAGCAAAGTTTGTTTCCAAAAGTTTCCAGTGCTATTTAGTGAACGGGGCATTTAAGCAAGNATTATTTGTACATTTAAATCCCATTTGAAGAGACATGCTAGTCGTGATAAATAATTTCACCTATTTCATGCATCATACAATTGTATTAACTGGTCCAGACATGAGTCCTCACATCTTGTGTTACACTTTTCTGTATCCAAACACTTTGATGGATTCACAACATAACAAGCTCCTTTTCATGTAACTGAAAGAGTTGCCTAAACAGAGCTCACATGCTCGACACCAACATTCAGTTAACTGGATTAATTCTGATTAGTCAAAACAGTTAAAAGGATACTTGTGAAAAGGAGTCCCTCCCCCCCCCCCCCCCACACACACACACACACTGCCTTACATGATTTACATAATTGTACAGTATGAGCTTCTACACAAATACAAATGTAATACTGAATAATGTGGCAGTGTGGTGGGATGTGACAAAGCTATGCAGTTGTGAAATATATTCCCTGTGAGATAATAAATGCACTGCTTATATGCTTTTTTGCACTCAAATTCTGCACAATTAATTCTAAGCTGGGATTATTTGTTTATTCTGCCAATAATGGGAGCTGGAGGTCAAGCTGTGATTTCTTCACCTTTCTAAGGGATATCTCATACAGGGTTTTATAATGAGTTAACCCCAAATCCTATAGGACATATGTTTCCTATAGAACTGATAGAATTCCTACTAAGTCCCATAGAGTCCTGTAGGAGTCCCAAAGAGTCCTGTAGGAGTCCAATAGAGTCCTGTAGGAGTCCTATAGAGTAATGTAGGAGTCATATAGAGTCCTGTACGAGTTCCATTCAGTCCTGTAGGATCGAGTTAGTCATGTAGGAGTCCCATAGAGTCATGCAGGAGTCCTACTGAGTTCCACTGAGTCCTACAGGACATCCTACAGGAACATTTTATGATGGCTGTTTTTTTTCATCTCAAACAGATAACTCATATCTAAAGTTGAAAGTCCTATGGTATACATGTACAACAACTCTTCTGTGACCTAAAACATAGTTCCCCTGACATTAAATATTTTTATCATCTTCCCCACAGCAATATCATAGGTGTCACCACCATCTCTGCCTAGGGGCATGAGTACATGCAGTGTCATGATTCTACTGTGTCTGGAAGTGTGATAATTTTGGCTGCCTCTCTCACTCCGCTCAGATAGGCTCCTGTCACTGTCTGTGGAAACTGACGGTGGGTGGCCTGTTGAAAAAGAACCAGGAAGACGTTGAAACTATATACGTCATTCTGACTTATAATAAAACAATACTAAAGACAGCCACTAAATTTTGACTTATTCTAAACCAAACATTAAAAGTATATGCAAATATATGTGTTAATATAAATGTTGAGAATTAATTGCGGTGAAAAACAGGTATTTTCAAAACTTGGAAACTGGTCAAAATCTGCAATTTACAATATAACGATATTCAAAGCTATGCCTTAACTATGAAAATCTCAAACACAAGAAATAAGATAAATAAATGAATAAAACAAATAAATTTTCTTTAGGCACCATCTCCTCACCTCTCCACCAAAGAAAACTCTCTGGTCTACATCCTCAGCAACAATATCATAGGTGTCACCACCACTGCCAATAGGGACGTAGCTGTACGCCATGCCTATGTTCTCCATACTGTGCCAGCGGGTAACAAACCACTTCTCAGGTTCTGGGATTGGCTGAATAGAAGAAATAAAAATATATACCAAGTAAGGCAGACTGAATACCAGTATCCACATGCAAGTGGTGGCAATGTACCTTTGTATATTAATTTTCAAGCATAATTTAAATACATTACTGAGAATTTTCAGGAAAGGCAATTTACAGTCAAGAAAAAAAAATGAAAGAAACTGGATAGAAAATTTATTTATCTTCCTACAACCTCTGCTGAGTATGTTTGTGCAGGTGTGGAGTGAGGGGTTTCCTGGGGTCCAAAGGAACAGCCCACTTGTCTTTGTGTTATGATGACACTACATGTACTAGCAGTTATATAAGTAGAAGTTTTATCATTTCCCAATTTTTAAATTATAAAAATAAACGATTCTCTCTCTCTCTCTCTCTCTCTCACTCTCTCTCAGTATTACAGAATTATACAAAATAATTCTGTAATAAACAAATAAACAGAAATAAACAAAAATGTACACAAACCTTTTCAGGGAATAATTTTCCTAAAACCCCCACACAGCATTTGACAATCTCCTCATCAGTCTTCTCCCTCTGAACTTCCACAGCTTTCCCACTCAACTGGCTAATCAGGACAAAAGGGCTGCTAGGGTTATCCTTTAGTCAAAAGAAAAAGTATTTGTTTGCGTATACATTGGCATATAAGCCTGGCTTTTCAGGACAATAGTGCCTTTAGGGTTATACTGAAGTCATAAGAATAAGTATTCATTTGCATATACTAGTATGTAGGCATTAAGCCTGGTATAGGGGGCATGGGAGGGTGGAATTTGGGTTAGAGGGGGGGGTGCACAGATATGTTTTGAGAGACTGAAAACTTAATGGACCCACCTAAATGTAGCCCCGATGCTAGATATATGGTCAGATAATCGACTTCAACCCAGACAGATGTAAGCAAACTTGTACTAGTAGAAGGTAGTAAAGTTCCTCTGTAGTGTAATTAGATGTTAGAACTAAAGTGTACCATTATAGCTGCATCACTATGATATAATACTCAACGTGAAAATTTATATAATATATAGCATATAATTTAAATGTAGACTTCTTTAGCACCAACCTTTGGCGTGAGATCATAGAACATACTGAAAAGGCCTCTCTGAGATTCATCTGAAGGCACATGGCCAAAAAAACCTGCTCTTTTTGCCTTGTTCTGCCAGAACCTCTCTGGGAACTGTAAGGCAATCTGAAAACAACAACAACATTTCAATTTATCTTTCATTACTGAGTGACATAACATAACAGAATTTGATTTTATAGTAACGGACAAGCCCAGCAACCATACAAATCATTTGATATCACCCCGAAGTGGAGAATTTAAGTTATCATGTACCATCAGCATCCTTTAACTGGCAGATGATGAAGATTTCCAACACTCTTAAACACAGGGTAACATTAATGATATAGACAGGTTCTAAATGGAATCACCTATTAACGCAACATGTTTTAATGGGAACAGAGGCAATATAAAAATATTATATTATAAATTTTGAATTGAAAAATAGATCTCCATAACTAAAAATAAATATTAGGTGAAACTGACCAGGGCTTGGGCACATTTTCAAGAGACTAGTACCTTTTCTGTTACACCTGTCCCTAGTTTGTGGAAAGCCTTAACTTTATGTTCAGGTAAACTTGGGGTGAATGATATCACAGACTTCTGAAGTAGGGACAGTGGAACAGTGATTATCACCTGAAATAGTGAATATAAGTGAATATAATATAATATAATATAATATAATATAATATAATATCATCTTGAGATGACAGATGACTTTCTCCTTTATAATAAAATATCTTTTTTTTTCTTTTTTTTTAATATTAATTCATTGCCACTAAGATTTAGACACCAGTTTGTACTGGTAAAAATGTTCAGATTTATAGGCAAATACATAATAATATTAATTTTTTATATTTTTTATGATATTATTCATATTCATACTCATATTAATAATGTGACTGATAATCTTGCTAGTCGCCAGCTTATGTAACACCAAGTTTTCTAGGTAATACAGGGTGGGATAAAATTATGCAATGTTCCCACCTTGTCTGCTGTCCACTTCTGGCCATTTTCAGAACTGACCACTACTTTATCACCAGAGTAATCTACAGATTTCACCTGCAAGAAAAACAATACACATAAATATAAAAAAGATGAATTTCCAATGGAGGCATAACATAACTATAGTATATACATGTACATTGGACCATGTTCTACACTTGCAAAAAAAAAAAAAACAAGGCAGCAAAGCTGTCAAATG